TCGTATGTTGACGCAGTGACCTTCTCACTAGGTAACCTACAATCTAAGGGTCTGTTCCCCTCTCCGCCGTTTTGTTGGAGTACAGCGCCAATCCCGTAACGCATCAGTAGTGATAATGAATGGAAGTGATGGGTCTCCAACCTTAAGGACCGGGTACTCAATTAGCAACTTCTTCAATTTCCTGATGGCTGAGGTGCAGTCTTTGTCCCAATTCCAAACTGTTTCCTTCCTCAGCAGTTTGCGCAGTGGTGCAGCTATCATGGTAAAGTTTCGTACGAACTTACGATAGTAATTGGCTAATCCTAGAAACAACCGCAGTTCAGTTAGCGTGTGCGGCATTGGCCAATCTCTGATTGCTGCTATCTTCGCATCTTCCGGTCTGACTCCATCTCCATCTAGCACATGGCCTAAATACAGCACTTGACGCTTTGCCCATTCACACTTCTTCGGGTTTAGCTTGAACTTCACAGTGCACAGCTTGTCTAGAACCAGACGCAGATTGTTGCATACCGTAAAGGTGCAGACCAAAACAAGAACCGACCTCTCTCACATAGTACAAGATAGCAACAGCGGAAGGCTTAAATACCAATGATCCGAACAACCAATGTTGCCATGCAGACCAGACATACATCATCATCATTCCATGGTGTGAAGGGGCCTGGCGCTCACACAGGAAGAATGCACCAGTCCCCAACCATACACAGACGAAGAAGAAGGGGGTTAGACGAAGAAGAGGGGAAGATGGGAATGTCGTCAACACCAAGTCTTCGGTACAGGTCCCAAATAATCCCTCGTCAGATGTCTGAATCCCAATGTCGAGTCTGGACCCAAATGTCGTCAAGTCCCAAAGTCACCAATCTCTCTCTCTCTCTCTCTCTCGTAGTCTGCAGATACTGGGAAGTCAGGTAGCGAGAGGGGAAGGAGGAGATGGTGGACTTAGAAGAGCAAGAAGAAGAACTCTCTCTCTCTCTCTCAGTCCGGTACTAACCTGTGAAGGTGGCACCTTGTTGCAGGTACATCGAAGACGAAGCTGGAGCTATGGCGCCACAGGTAAGTCTCCCTGGCCTCCGCCAACCATCTCTCTCTCTCCACTACTACTCTAGCTCCTGATAGCGCTGAAGACTACTGCTAACACTACTACTACTACTGCAGCGCTCCTCCAGAGTGCTGCTGCCGAATCCTGAAGACTGCCTCCTGCCTCCTGCACGTGAAGTGCCTGGGAAGTTCCTATGAACTGCCTCATGACTGTCTCCTGACTGCCTGCAGCCTGCAGGGCGGGCCAGTCTTATATAGTCCTGGCCCGTCCAGGAGGCTGCTCTTGCCAATGCCAAAACGTGCCAGACCCTGATGTTGAAGTTCAAACAAAGGTTGTCTTGAAAACAGGCCAAAAATGGCCTGTGCTAAAAACCCTGGTCTGGTGCCTAAGTTTCAGGGCAGGTCGACTATATGAGGGCCTGAAAATGGCCCTCGTTTTCAGGCTTTTAGGCTGAAACGACACAGGGCCTGTAGGCCCTTCTTTTCAGGCTTTCAGGCTGAAAACGACACAGGGCCTGTAGGGCCCTAACTTTCCTTGTTTGGTCGGGCCTTGCAGGCCCGTGTGGATGCGCAGTATGCCACACATGCTGGTGGTGCTTCTCTAGAGTCTTACTAAAAATCAAAATATCGTCTAGATAAACGACTACGAATTTATCTAGCCATTCGTGAAAGAGACCGTTCATGCATCTTTGGAAGGTAGCAAAGGCAGACCAAACGGCATGACCACAAGCTCGTAGTGGCCATAGCGAGTACTAAAAGCCGTTTTGTGCTGATCTTCGGGACGTACCTCTATCTGATGGTAGCCCAACTTCAAGTCGATCTTGGAAAAGTACTTGCATCCCTGCAACCTATCCAGCAGATCATCTATTCTAGGCAAAGGTTCGGCGTTTTTCACCGTAATTGCGTTCAAACCCCTATAGTTCCTTGGCAGACATTGATAAATGGGCCCCTTGGGAGTCTTGCTAACGGGCTATATCTCTATCCGGTGCTTGATTTCCCATGCCATTACTCCTATCGGGGTCTCTCCCACATCAGCGAACTCTTTCAACAGTTTTTCAATTGGGGGTGGTGTTGGTTCCTCCTCCTTGCCTTCGTTAACCGGTCTAACATACGCTACGAAGACTTGGTCAACCAAATCAGCCTTGACCACATGCCTGGCGAACGCAGGTGCCCTCATACAGCAAAGAGACAGACTGGACTTCTTTTTGCCACCATTGGGGCTGGTTCAGCGCGCATTTCGCCTCAACCTCCAGCGGATGCAGCGGGGACCAGCTCCAATACCACTGAAATAAGCCAAGTACTCGTCAAGCTCAACCTCGCATACATCAATGAATGTTGCATACTGTAACGGTGCAGACTGTCCAACTACCTACCCGTGAAGTGCATGGGAACTTCCTATGTACTACTCGCATACCTCCTGGCTGCAGGCGAGGCAGTCCAGGAGGCTGCTCTTGCCAATGCCGAAGGCAGTCAGGGGCTGCCGCTGCAGCTCCTGCTCAAGGCTGTCGTGGGGAACAGGCCAGAAATAGCCTGTTCCCAAAACCCTGGTTTTGTGCCTGAGTCTTAGGGTAGGTCGATCTTATGAGGGCCCAAAAGTGGCCCTCCGTTTCAGGCTGAAAAGCCTCAGGGCTGAAAAGCCCTGTTATAGGCTGAAAACGAAATAGGGCCTGCAGGCCCTCGTTTTCAGTTTCAGGATGAAACGACATGGGGCCTGTAAGCCCTATTTTCTAGGCTTTTAGGCTGAGAATGCGGGACAGGTCCTGCAGGCCCGTGTGGCTACGCAGTATGCCACAATGAACCTTCACATGAGAGTTCACACATGAGAAGCCAAATCAAGATACAATCAACACTTGAAGATGTCGCCTCCAATATTATTATCAATATTCAAGACTGTTTGTCTCCAGCCGCTCTGCCGCACACACACACACACACACACAAGGGATCCCAATCAGATGGTGGCTATGGCTTCTCTCCATTCTCTCCCTTCTCTCTCCCTCTCTCTCTATTATTGCTTCTCTCTCTGACTTGGCTCGCTCTCTCTCTCTCTCTCTCTCTCTCTCTCTCTCTCTCTCTCTCTCTCTCTCTCTCTCTCTCTCTCTCTCTCTCTCTCTCTAACCTAGATCATCACCATGGATACACCCACTCAGGTAGCTTACACCTTGGCGGCTATGGCCGCCGTCCTCCGGCTCTACCTCTAGCCTAGCTATGGAGTATCCCACATGCGCCCTCTTCTTCTTCAGGCGCACAATGTCCAAGTTGCCTTAACGCACAAGCAGCAGCAGCACTTCCGCATCTCGCAACTTAACAAGTGATGAGCCGCTGCACTGTAGCAGCTAAATATAGGTCTTGGCTTCGCTTCGCTTGGCTTGGCTTCTCGTGCTTCAGAAGCCAAGCCAAGCCAAGCCAAGCCAAGCCAAGCCAAGCCAAGCCAAGCCAAGCCAAGCCAAACCAAGCCAAGACCTATATTTAGCTGCTACAGTGCAGTGGCTCATCACTTGTTCAGTTGTGAGATGCGGAAGCGCTGCTGCTGCTTGGCCTGCTTCAGACCGGTACCGGTCAGGCACGGCCTGTCTGCTGCAAACATTTTGTCGGTCCGGTAGCTTCCGGACTTTCCTGGGACATGCTGCAAAATTGGACTTGGGACTGTCGGACCGGACTGGACTCTTCCGGACTTTTCTTGTTGGGTACCGGACGGACTCCTACCGACCTATGACGCATCGGTACCGACACCTACCGACCTATGACGTTTCGGACCCCTAGACCCTACAGCCTACCCTACTGGACTGCCCTGGGACTGGGGACTTGTCGGAACCCTGGGATCAGGACTGGGTGTCTGCCACGTGCATCCTTACAGTCAACTACAACCAGAAATGGGAATGCTTTGCGCCGTTCGTGCCCCTACTTATGGTCCTTCCCCTCTCATGCTACATCCAAATGATTGTCTATGATGGTAGGAACGGAATGACGGGCACAATCTACCAGTGATGATATATGTGCCACATCGAACATGATGGTTGCAATCAGAAATGTGTGTCATGAAAGCTGTCAGAGTCCATGAGCACCATCGTTCCAAGCAGACGACCATATTGTTGCGGTTTGACTAGCCAACAATGGCGACAACCGGATAGAGCAGTGAGCCTCCAGGCACAAACGTGCAGGAATTCAGACATCCCGCACCTCTATCTTTTGCACCATTATTATAACCACTTCTACACCTCTCGCTCCCACAATAGCCCTTTGCCCCTTATACAGCAACGGTGAAGTTGGCACAGGCAACAGCTTGTTTTTTGTTTTTGTTTTTTTTTTGGTACTGGTTTCGTGCATTCTTTCAAAGCAGAAACGAGCCCTGAGAGACTCCCAACGTATGACGATCACACTTCATAGCCAATCCAGGACTCCAACCACCTCTTCAGGCATCTGATTGCTCACCTTGGCATCATTTGAGACTGATGGTTTAGACAGGCACCTCTATCTTTTGCACCATTATTATAACCCCTTCTACACCTTTCACTCCCACAATAGCCCTTTGCCCCTTATACGGCGAGGTGACGTTGGCACAGGCAACAGCTTGTTTTAACTACAGGGTTCATGCATTCCTTCAAAGCAACAACGAGCCCTGAGAGACACCCGATGTACAAGGATCACACTTCATAGCCAATCCAAGACTCCAACCAACTCTTCAGGCATCTGACTGCTCACCTTTGCATCATTTGAGACCGATGGTTTAGACGGGAATTCAGACATCCCACACCTCTATCTTTTGCACCATTATAAACCCTTCTACACCTTTCGCTCCCACAATAGCCCTTGGCCCCTTATACGACGAGGGTGAGCTTGTTTTAACTACTGAGTTTGTGCATTCATTCGAAGCAGCAACGAGCCCTGAGAGACTCCCGACGTGTGAGGATCACACTTCATAGTCAATCCAAGACTCCAACCAACCCTTCAGGCATCTGATTGCTCACCTTGGCATCATTTGAGACCGATGGTTTAGACGGGAACTCGACGGAGTTAGCACGGATAATTGTATCCTCGCGCAGAATTCTCTCTTGTGTCTGGTCATGGCCAAATGGTCTCTTACCAAACAACATCTGATAAAATATGATGCCTGCTGACCAGACATCAACCTGAAAACCCACATCCCACAAGGAGAGATGAGTCAATGGTCAGCTTCTGTAGACAAAGCCAGATGAAGGCGAACGAGTTAGTAACTTTACAGACTAATCACAACAAGAGCAAGGAACATCATACGAAGCGTTAAGACCAGGCCTTGCCTGCTTCAGGTCGCATAGACAGCAGAAGAAAACTCGGGACCTTCAGAAGAACTGTTACAAAAGAGGGCTTTCATATCGGGCGACTGCAGAATTTGAGCCTCTTGGGTTTAAAATAAAGAGCGCCGGAGTAATTAAGAAGAAAAACAGGAGAACAAGATTTACAGCCTCGCTTTCAACAAAATCATTGGAGTTTTCCTAACATCAAAACACACCCCGCAGCTGCAGAATTTGAGCCTCTCGGGGGTACACAATTAAGGATATGGTGGAAACCTGCTTAATCAAATAGAGAAGCAGGCTGATAAGATTTACTACTGCTTCGTTTACTGCTAGAATCCATGAAAGTACAAAAGCAAAAAACTGACCCCGTTTCTGATCTTCGTTGTTTTTTCTTTGTCCTCTTTTCGTTCCACATGTAGATTCCCTGAGCTTTTTTTTGTCGTTTTGGGATCCTGTTGATTCATTCGGTTGTCTTTTCATTTTTTTTCGGGGACCATTTTTCGACCTAGGCGTGTCATCCTTAGGGCCTCGGTCCGCTACTCACCAAATGTGCAAAATGAGAATGAATCTTCAGCTAGGACATGGAAGTGTACACCGCCATACTTTGTCTTTTGTGCATGTGGTGAGTAGAGGAGCGCTTATGGTTCCTGGATTTAGCCGTGACAGGGCCTCGCTCCACTCTCACCAAATGTGCAAAATGAGAATGAATCTTCTTCTAGAACACGGGTAGAAACACTGCCATATCTTTTGTCTTTCGGGTGTGTGGTGAGAAGTGAAGCGAGGCCCACATCCTTGCGCAGTTGCCATGCCTCCGACAAGAATGACTCTTCTTCAAGCACATGGGTAGATACACTGCTCTATTTTGTCTTTTCAACTCTTTTGCACTTCTTTTTTTTTTTGGAAAAAAAAATCGAATTTTGGCCCGTAGTGGAGTGAGGCCCACATCCTTGCGCAGGGGCCGTGGCTCCTCGATTTGGCCTGGCTCACCAAATGTGCAAAATGTGAAACGGTTTTCACCTTTTGCAGACACAGATGCGGATCCCAGGGCTCGATCCCCAGACCTCACCTTACCTTTACCTGTGTACAGTATCAAGTCGACCCTGTGAGTCTTGAACCCGTGACCTGTGTATTAGTAGTTGGGAGTTGTCTGTCGTAGGTCTGAGTAGTTGTCGGGTCTTGAACCTTCGACCTGTCGAAGTAGGGGTCATACCTGCATAGGGGTCATAGTTATGGAAGTTCTGAAAGGTCAAGGTCGTAGCTGCTACAGTCCTGAAAGGTCAAGGTCATAGCTGCTACAGTTCGGAGAGGCCAAGTCCGCAAATATCTGGAAGGCCCGGCAGTGGCCTTTCAAGTTTCTTCTCACGTTATACACAGTAGGCGAGAGGCAAGTGGGCAAGTGGTGAGTCCAACTTCGCTTAGTCAGCGGTACCCAGTCCCAGTCTCACTTTGTACAGTCAGCAGGTACCATGAGGGACTGTGTGCACCATGGGCCCGGTGGAAAAGGGCAGACCAGCGACTTATAGAAGTATAAATCAAGAGGCAGTGTCCAGCCATTCACTCATTCCTGCGGAAGCCATGCGGAAGCGCTGCCTGAGCAGCTTGTGCGAGGTGATCTGCAAGATGCCCGAAGTCAAAGTGGGCTTGAAGGAGACAGTGCGCTATAGTTAGTAGTAGCCGGCGGCCATAGCCGCCATAGTTAGTGTTAGGTGTTAGTGTGTGTGTACATGTGAGTGAAACAGAGCAAGCATGTGGGGTATTCAGGGTGATCCAGAGTTGAGTGTGGGCGAACAGTGGTGTTGGACACAGTGTCAAGAGTTGGAATGTACAGGCGCATGCACGATAGCTTGTTAAAGCGAGTATGCATCTGAACTGTGTTCTCGTTTTCCATATCTCTGAGCTTCAAGTGGGCGCTTGATGCCAGTGTGAATCGCCATCTGCTTGCATGTATGTGAAGTGAAGAATAAAGCGAGTCTGATTGCAAATGAGAAGATACACCGCCATATTTTTGTCTTCTGTGTGTGTGGTGAGTAGCGGAGCGAGGCGCACATCCTTGCCCAGGGGTCAAGGTTCCTCCATTTGGCTTGGCTCCGTTACTCATCAAATGTGCAAAATGAGAATCGATCTTCCACTAGAACATAGGAAGATATGCCTTCTTTTTTTTTTTCAACCACCATATTTTTTGTCTTTTCTGCGTTTGGTGAGCAATGAACCTCGGTCCTCATCCTTGCGCAGGAACCATGTTTGCAATAATCTGTCTGCATCGTTCCGATTTCGGCAAACGCGGAACACTGTGTTTACTCTCCGGGCCTGGCCCCGCCACTGACCGAATGAGCAACAGCCCCTTAGTTGTGAGAGGTAACCATGTTTGCAGGGGGCTTAGGAGTAATAGTAGCTACGTAATGAAAATTAAAATTGAGAGAAGAATATAGGTTAGTTTTTTTTTTTTTCTCCCCCATGTCTCAGCGACTCATGGGGCCTTGCTCCGCTGACAGTCAATCCTTTTCCCCCAGGGGACAATTTGGCCTCAGTGGAAGGAAGCACCGAGTGTCTCATGCTATGTAATTCTCATTCATCGTGCCGCGGGTGCTGGGGGAAGGAACTGGACTGACACTCCCATAAGGACCTGATTTTATCGAGGAAAAAAAAAAAAAAAAAAAAAGATTAACTTCTGCCGCACCTTCGACGAGATCATTGGAGTTCTCCTAACATCAAAACACTCCGGAGGCAAGTACCTGCAAGATCCAGTGCAACAGCAACAGAATCTTAGAGCATGCGTGCTTCGTAATCAGATCCTTCAAAGCAGATGAACAACTCCCATGCTGTTTGTAACACTGTCAACCTAAAAGCAATTAACAAATATGGCCCAAGACCTGCTCCTTTCCGCAGGTTATCTCATGACGTGTATTGTTTGGTGATTGCTAGAGCACCAACATCAAAACAATACTTTGAAATTTTGAAAATCGTCTCTACCCATCTGTACTCGTGTTTGCTGAGGAGACCGGAAAGCATAGCATTGCAGTACCCCATTGAAGAGGCAAGTAAGTACAACGGAAGAAGCATGTCAGGAGGTGAAGAAGTTTCTATGCTTACACATGGGTGACGATAATCGGATAACGAGAAATAACAAAACAGGCCTGTTGGATAGTGAGAGAGCTGATAGCAATGCATGGTTCAGGACGAGTGAGGTTCAGTGACTATCATAATACATAGATGTTGCTCACATTGATTCATCATATCCCGGATCAGGAGAAAGAGAAACCTTCTCTCCTCCATGGAATGCTCAAACTGGACTTTCATTGTGTGACAACTTGGATGTCACCTTCTCGTCATCTATGGAAACGTTAGAGGTACACATTGGAGAAGGATCAAAGTTCATCAAACCCACTTCTTTTGTAGAGTAACAACCAGGCTGTAACCCTTTCTCCTCGATAGAAATGTTCGAGATTAAGGGCGGGTGGAGGCTCATACCCCAATGTTGTGGAGTGACAGCCAGAGTCAAATAGACCCACCGTAAGGAGGGTCTTCCCGATTGCAAAAGCAACGCCAGTGCGAACAACAACAATGGATGGGATTCTTGAGTCCATACTCCTGTGCAGGGAACATGACGCATCGAATGGTCACCTAAGTTTCTTACGCTCTTCGCACAGCAACCGACAAAATGCATGTACAACTGAGTCCATCCACGGACATGAGACGGCAGTTTGATCAAGCTCAACAGGGTGTGAAGGTTTGTCTGATATGTTGAGGAAGCAGGAATGGGATTCTCTTCTTACCAGTAGGTTCCAGCACCTTGCGAGGTGAGTTCCATACCCTGGGAGCCACAGTTCTCTTCCAGGACTTTGCTGAGGCCAAAGTCAGTAATCTTAACCTCACCCGTGGAATCAAACATGATGTTTCCAGGCTTAAGATCATAATGAATCACCCTATGCTCTGGCTGGTTGAGGTACACTAGCCCAGAAAAAATTTGGACAAGTATGCACCTTGCCTCCTTCTCTGGCAAGATAGGTGTTCCCTTGAGTACTGCATCCAAATCCTTTCCTGCAGCCCGATGAACACAAGGACTTCTGCACCGTCAAGTACTCTTACAACAAGTGAGCTGCTGATCTCCAACATGGCTTCAATCCTAGGCTACCAGAGTGCCCAGGGACCACTTGCCCGGCCGGGCCAAAAAAAAAAAAACAAAAAAAAAACAAATTTTTATTTTTATTTTTATTTTTCATTTTAAATTTGGTGGTAGCCTAGCAGCAATCCCTTACAAAGTTACAATCCTCTATCACATCCTCATCAGCAAGACACCTTGTCTTCGGATGACTGGTACTCCATATTCAGTAGTACTCTTTGCTTCATTGGTGATACAAACTTCTTGTCTCCTAGCGTCATCGAACCATCACGTTGTACTGCTTATTTTCCACAGACACATACTTCCCTTTTGCTGTTCCTAGGTCCATTGCTCATCCTCCATATGACCTTCTGAATAAAGATTTCCAAATAATTGTTCAGAAACACATCCAACAACGTTCTCATAATGGATGGCATGAGTGGGTACATGCATGTCAAGTGAATAAATGGGTGAATTTGTGACAAGATAGAGCTCAAGCCCTGGACATCTGGGGCTACCAAACCCACCCTCATGTGGCAGACAAATCCCTAGTAACAGCCTTTCGCATGCGTGTCCGTCAGGCTTTGCTTGGTTCCACGCGCTATAAGACACCAGCATTTTCTACACCAACTCCTGCCTGTCAATGTGAAAATGCGGAGTGAACCAAATACTCGTTAATTATATTACATGCAGTCAAACAAAGCCTAACAGAAAGTCATGTTAAGTACCGTTTTAAAAGACGAAAAGACGAAGAAGAACAGGCGGAGGTGAAGGAGGACGAGGATGGAGGAGAAGAAGAACAGGAAGGGGAGGAGGACAACGAGGAGGGAGGGAAGGAGGCAGGGAGGCAGGCAGGGAGGCAGGCAGGGAGGTAGGAAGGCAAGGAGGGCGGGAAAGAGGGAGGCAGGGAGGGAGGGAGGCAGGGAGGCAGAGAGGGAGGGAGTGAGGGAGGCAGGGAGGAAGGTATGGAGGCAGGCAGGGAGGAGGGAGGGAGGCAGGCAGGCAAGGAGGGAGGGAGGGAAGCAGGCGGGCGGCAGGGGGCGGGCCGGGGGGCGGGGGGGGGGGGGGGGGGGGGGGGGGGGGGGGGGGGGGGGGGGGGGGGGGGGGGGGGGGGGGGGGGGGAGGAGGCAGGGAGGGAGGCAGAGAGGGAGGGAGTGAGGTAGGTATGGAGCAGGCAGGGAGGCAAGTGGGCGGCAGGCAGCGGGTAGGCGGGCGGATGGGCGGATGGGCAGGCAGGCAGACGGGGGGAGGGAGGGAGAGAGAGAGAGAGAGAGAGAGAGAGAGAGAGAGAGAGAGAGAGAGAGAGAGAGAGAGAGAGAGAGAGAGAGAGAGAGGAAAACCTTGTTGGATAGAAGGCGAATGTGTGAATGAGAGAGAGAAGTGAGGTGTGCGAGAACTTGATCCAAATTACATGAATGAACAGCCTGTCTTTTCCTTCTATTCCAGTTTTTTTGTGTGGGCATCGCCCACACCTGCTGCATCCCGGGTGCTAAGGTAGTCAATCTTTCACAGTTGAAAATCACAGAAATTCTTATCTCCCCTGTTTGGTGTTCTGATTTTTTTCTACAGCTTGCAACTGTATCTATCATCATTCTCTTCCAGAAATCATATTTCCCAATCCAAAATTTCATCTTTTCGTGAATTAGCTGTGCAAAAGCCTTACATTCCTCCCTTATGCTGTGTACTTGCTTTGATCCCAAACACTACGGTCTTTCCCCATACGCAAGGCACCCCAATGATGAATGATACAACTTCATACAAAGTTACAAACTATTTTTCTAGCTCGATACAGTCATGATGATGGTGCAATGTCTGCGGGGTGAGACGGTACAGCTATTAGCCCTACTGTGTGTGGCCTGCAGAATCGAAATGACATTCCTAGACCCCAAATCGAAATTTTCATCTTTCTGTGGATCAGTTTTGCAAGGAGGAGTTCAGCCCTCTAGATCTCTCCGAAAGCCTCACATTCATCCTCCATGCAAAACTAGTTCACGAAAAGATGAAAATTTTGGGCTGGGGTCTAGGAATGTCATTTCGATTCTGCAGGCCACACACAGTAGGGCTAATAGCTTTACCGTCTTACCCTGCAGACTTATTTTGCTTCGGTCCCATGCAACTGTCTTTCCCCAAACACAAGGCACCCTGATGATGAATGCATACAAGCTCTTTTCCCAGTCCGATACAATCATGATGAGGTTCCATTGTCTTCAGGGGAAGACAGTAAAGCTCTTATGGCTAGCGTGTGTGGCCTGCAGTATCGAAATGAGATTCCTGAACGCCACACGCAGCACACACATTAGTTTGGTTCAGATTCTTCAGAACATCTGTACTGAGCCTCCATAATATTTCTTTTCTCAGAACTACTCTTACCAATTAAACCACCAGAACATGCCCCAACGCAACATGACAACAATGATCTGCACAGTACGGCCAGAGTACATATTCACCGCAGCATGCTGAAAAGTATGGAGGCTCGGGGAAACCGGAGAGCGCTAGCCAAAACAAAAGGGAAAACGCTGCGTCGGCCTTTCGGCAAAGCTTGACGCACAGGGGGATTGCGCCTCGTACAAAAAAGGCTCGGATGTACTGGTGGCTTAAGGTTGCTACGTTCTGGAATGCATAAGTACAGACGTCTATCGTGAAAGGATTTAAGTTGCAGACATCCAGTCCCGGTCCCAAGGTCCTGACAAGACCTAAGTCTCAGGGCCATTCCGTAGGGTAGGCCGTAGGACCCTAAGGTCGAAGCGTCGTAGGTCTGTGGTTGTCGGTACCGAAGCATCGTAGGTCGGTAGGGGTCTGCCCGGTACCCGGCAAGAAACGTTCAAAGCGTCCAAGTCCAGTCCGACAGTCCCCAAGTCGAATTTTGCAGCATGTCCCAGGAAAGTCCGGAAGGTACCGGACCGACAAAATGTTTGCAGCAGACAGGCCAAAGACTGACCGGTACCGGTCTGAAGCAAGCCAAGCCAAGCGAAGGCAAGTCCTACATTCAGTTGCTACAGTGCAGCAACTCGTCACTTGTTCAGTTGCAAGATGCGGAAGCGCAGCTGCTGCTTGTGCGTTATGGCAACTTGGGCACTGTGCGCCTGAGGGAGAAGGGGGCGCCTGAAAGATAGTCCATAGCTAGGCTAGTAGTAGTAGAACAGGAAGACGGCGGCCATAGACACCAAGGTGTAAGATACCTGAGTGGGTGTTTCCTGGGTAACGATCCATGGAAGGAAGAGAGAGACAGACGAGAGAGAGAGGGAGAGGGAGAGTGAAGAGGGAAGCCATAGCCGCTACTTGATTGAAGACACGCTGTCTGTGTGTGTGTGTGTGCGGAAGAGCCGCTGGTGACAAACATTCTGTATATTGGCAATAATGTTCGCGACGACATCTTTGAGTGTGGATTGTATCTCAATTGGGCTTCTCACGTGTGTACTCTGATGTGGATGTTCGATAATGTATGCGAGTTGAGCTTGGCGAGTACTTGGTTGATTTCATTCCACACTTCTTTCCTGTCTTACATGACAGGACTGATACGAATAAAGCTGGAATAAATACAAATTCTAAAACTATGCGAACTGATGTTCGGAGCACTATGGAGTGGTTAAAAAAATTGCAAAACTTACACAACCCCACACACAATTCTGAAAGGCACACATAAACAAAAGAGGTCCGACAGTTTGCTATAGCAGACCCCAAATGCAGCCCCCAGCTTCACCAACGTACCATTACTTAAGGGACCATCGAGAACATATAAGGTTTTCCCACCACACCATCAAACACCCAATGCATCCCCTAGCCAAGTAACTTACCGTTACAGTACTCGAGGACAGTGCAGAATGTGTTGTTGTCAATCTCGAAGATATCAAGGAGCTTGACGATGTGTGGATGATCTAGGTTCTTGTGAATGTTGTACTCGCGAATGGCATGCCTGACATAGCTTTGTTTCTTTTCTTCACTCCATTGCAGGTTCAGTTGATGCAGTTTGCATGCAACATATCTGTACTCCACCAGGTCAAATGCCTGAAGCAACCACCACCAAGGACCACAGAAGTGTGTTCAGAGCTGGGATCATAAACGTAAGGCAATGGTTACATCATCAGGCCCACTCCCCACCTGGTCAGCAGCAACCTCCTTGCTGACATCCCATCCGGCCACTCCCCGGACAGCATTGATGTCGGCTGGAAACCACCCGAGAGAAGTAGCTTGCCAACGTCTACAGTGCCAGCTCATGACAGCAGGAATCTACTTGTGTGAGCATCTTCATCATCATCATCATCATCATCATCATCACTGGAACTCTCACTGCCCTTTCACACTACGCCCTCCTGATAATCACAGAAGCAATCTACTAGGGTGATTGTCATCATCATCATCATCATCACTGCAACTCTCACTGCCCTTTTGCCCTACACCCTCCTGATAATCACAGCAGGAATCTGCTATTGTCATCATCATCATCATCATCATCATCATCATCATCACTGCAACTCTCACTGCCCTTTAACACTACACCCTCCTGATAATCACAGCAGGATTCTGCTGGGTTGATTGTCATCATCATCACTGGAACCCCCTCTGCCCTTCTTGCAATACACCCTCCTGATAATCACAGCCAGACAGTGGCAAGTCACTGGCAAGCCCGTCCAGAACAGTCATGGTGGTCCCTAACTACATCTCAGTTCTTCTCGATGGCTAAACACAGTGATCTGCCTCATGTAGCTCACTTCTTTCTTACATTCCACATTCAGCTCGTGGTTTCCAAGCAGTGCATCTTATACTACACCAGGGCTACAAACAACATGGTTACAAGCGAATGATCTTCCAAATGGACCATTGCTTCTTTCTTCTATTCCATTCCAAATTCCACTGGCATAGTTTTGTAATCTGGCTGTCACTCTGGAAGACAGCATCAGTTCATGAGAACCAAAATGAAGTACGACACTATTAATGGCGTTCCAAGTCAACTGTTTGGTGAAATCCGTTTGACCTGAGGTGCATGTCATAGCAATAATGATACAGCAAGACGGTGAGAAGAAGATGAGCAAGAGGAAGACAATAAATCAAGAATATGACAAATAACTACAACTGGCATGGGTGTGGGCAGAGGCCAAAACTGATATAGCAATAGGCGGGGTAGTGCTGCTGACCGTCAGCTGCACCCGACCTGGCTGCGGCAGCTGGTAGGCCAATGGAACAACCCATGGGCACATACTGGTCGGCAGGTTGTCAGCCTGCCCCATTTTGTTTTTTCGCTTTTTTTTTTTTACAATAAGCGAATTTCGTATTGACAAGCAAATGTCCTGCCGCTGCTACGCTCGTAGCGGCACACGTGCTCCTCCCCCTCCACCCCCGTTACTCCGCCGCCGCCTCCTCATCTTCCCCGTTCTCTGCCACCTCCTCTCAATACTGCTCCCCCATCCCCCCCATCCTTGGCCACCACCTGCTCTCTGTTGCGTTCTTCTCCTACTCCTCCACCATGTCCTTCTCCTCCTTCCACTCGTCCAATGTCCTCCTCCTACACCTCCTTTGGGTATGGACTGTCGCATCGGATGGTACAGCGAAGACAGATGTCACACGCTACGTGGCTCCTACATGCTAGAAACGTAGAGGCACGCCGACCGCAATTGTATAGGCATTGCTGTTCCAGCCCGTATACAATTAGGGCATGCCATGTCAGGGTGTTGTACATGAATACAACATTGATTCTCATATGGAAACAAAGATTTGCATGGGTTATACCTTCACAATCCCCACGCCACAAAGCATGCCAATCACATGCTACCCCAATCTCAAGCAGGCCATCACAGTGTAGTATTAAACCACCAGTAACTACCGGTTGTCAAGGCCCGTGGCTCAGGCTACCGGTAGCCCGGTCATTGCCGAGCCTCGGACTTTATTGCCGAGCCTCGGACAACCGGTAGTACACCTGTCTCTTATACACATCTAGATGTGTATAAGAGACAGGTCCAGGAGGCTGCTCTTGCCAATGCCGAAGGCAGTCAGGGGCTGCCGCTGCAGCTCCTGCTCAAGGCTGTCG